TTACTGTTAGTTCTCTTATCACATTTCACCCCAAGACAGTTTTAGTATGGTTAAGTATACCTTTATTAATAATTTATACAAGATTATGTCTATATTTTCAGTTCTAACCTTTCTTTTCTCTAATAAGAGGGCTAGTAACAACTTATAAATAATTAAAAGAGATGCCTCTAAGTTTATCTTTTAAATGATGAAATTCAAGTTGTTTCTTATGCTAAGAATTATGGTTTTGAGACATAGTTAAGTCCTGGAACTAATATTAGCTTTGCATTCTTATTTTTTAATTAGATAGTATTTCTTAAAATTTTTTCCTATTTTTTCCTACATCACTTAAACAAAATTTATAATTAGCAAGACAGATGCTATCATAGTAAAAGATTCCCTTGTAGTAAATTAATTTTTTCAAGATACTTGGTTATCATTTGGTTTACTAAAGTAATAAATAGCTAAGGGGAGTTTAGTCCACTATTTGTGGGCTACTAGCCATAAGAAGTTTTAATCTGTCCTTTATTTTATACATACATGTGCCACAAAGAAACACACACTGCAGCATTTTCCACAGAAGACATCCAGGCTTTCCTAATCACTAAGAAGGTGACTGGGATTGATATTCCCTAGTGATCTTTCATAGATTCTGCGGTGCCAAGAAAAACCATTACTATTGAAAACCTGCTGTCATATCACATTGTCCTTCTCAACAACCATAAAGAATGGAATTTCTCTTTGCAATGGAGGCCTCCCTTCCTTCCCTCTCCTAAGTTTAACCTTCTGTATTTCTAGAGTTAAGAATCCTCAGTTTAGAGACACAGAAGAACTCACACAATTGGTTGTAGCATGAAAGATAGCATGTAATTTTATAAATTTATAAATGTTTTTTGAATTTTGAATTTTTTTCTCTCCAGATAAACATGATTAATATGTTCATGTTTTTTTATATAGACCCCAAACCTTTCCAGACTTGTAGGAAATCTGTTGATGTATAATACAGTGGAAAGAATTATGTGACCTAATGTGCAAATAATGTACTGGAGGACTTTGGATATAAAAATGTTTTCTTAATGTGTTTTCCAGATGCCTGTGACGCTTTGAAATTGTTTTTCCCCCCCACTTAATTTTAGGGCTTCTAGAATGGCCGAGTTGAGCAATAGAAATTAATGAATTAATGAGGTAGAATGCTTGAATTGAATAAACTAGAAGAAAATATCTCTTTCCAGTAAACCATTATTACTATAACAGAAGCAATTTATAGAAGCTCAGTTCCCAAATGGTCATATGCTTTAGTTGGGAAATAGTACATTAACTGAAATATTATATTAATAAAGAGTCATAAGCAATATAATTTTCAAATAATTAGAGAACAGTAGAATCTATGTAACACAAACTATGCTGAACATAATTTAATGTTTCTTTGATTCAGGTTATTGGTGTATAGACATACTAGTTAAAAGTATTATACATAATATTTTAGTGTTTTGTAATGCATTTTTAAAAATTCTCCAGTATTTACTGAATATTCTAAATTATATTAGCATCTCTTAATGGTTCTCTACATGTAGTAGTCACATAGGTAAGTTTACTGAAGCTGCAAACAATTTGATACATACACTTAAGGAAACAAAATTCTGATTGATTCTGATCTGTTTCTTTCAGAAAAATCACCACTCATATAATGGATTTTATAGATCAGATTTCTTTATTCTGTATATCATGGTAACAATACAGAAAGTATACTTAATTTCTCATTTCTGCAAGTAGTCATGACTGCTGAAGAAAGAAATTTTTTAAGCCACAGCAGGATTCATTTGGTACCTTTTGTGGAAATCCTGATTTTGTTTTTAATTTTTGATAACTTTTGCTAATAGTATGAACAAGCAAAGAGCTTATCTTCTTAGGCAAGTACACATTAATAAGAATGCCTAGAAGAGGATTGATTCTTCAGACCCGGACACATTGGCTGCTGTTGGGCCTTGCTTTGCTCTGCACTTTGGTATTATTTATGTACCTTCTGGAGTGTGCCCCCCAGACTGATGGAAATGCATCTCTTCCTGGTGTTGTTGGGGAAAGTTATGGTAAAGAGTATTATCAAGCCCTCCTACAAGAGCAAGAAGAACATTATCAAACCAGGGCAACCAGTCTGAAACGCCAAATTGCCCAACTAAAACAAGAATTACAAGAAATGAGTGAGAAGATGAGATCATTGCAAGAGAGAAAGAATGTAGGGGCTAATGGCATAGGCTATCAAGGCAACAAAGAGCAAGCACCTAGTGATCTTTTAGAGTTTCTTCATTCCCAAATTGACAAAGCTGAAGTTAGCATAGGAGCCAAACTACCCAGTGAGTACGGGGTCATTCCCTTTGAAAGTTTTACCTTAATGAAAGTATTTCAGTTGGAAATGGGTCTCACTCGCCATCCTGAAGAAAAGCCAGTTAGAAAAGACAAACGAGATGAATTGGTAGAAGTTATTGAAGCCGGCTTGGAGGTCATTAATAATCCTGATGAAGATGATGAACAGGACGATGAGGAGGGTCCCCTTGGAGAGAAACTGATATTTAATGAAAATGACTTCGTAGAAGGTAATGTGAAAAATGTGTTGGCCAGTAGTTAGTAAGACAAAATGCTAATATACATCAGTCATTAGCCACTGTATTAAAACATTTAAGTTTTTACCCACTTCATTCTGCCAAGAATTTTAAGTGACTTTCTGGGAAAAGTTATAATGAGATCATAATAAAAATAGAGAATAAGGATCAGAGAAATAGAATAAATCTCAGCTTATATAGAAGAATACTAACTACTAAGGTTGAAGGGCTCTTGTGGGCTGTGTATGTATTTGCATGTGTGTATGATTTGCATTCTTTTCTTGATGTTCCTTTTTTATGTTTTTAAAAATGTATGAACTAAGGCTCAAAATTTGATAAAGGAAAGAAAAAAACTAATTTAGTAGCCTAATAGTTATTTTCCATTTTAGGGGAAGGAGAAGTATATGTCCAAACATTAAGGAGGCATACATGGTTTTAAAAAGCATTTTTGGCATTTGGAAAAGTAAGAAAATAACCTATTTTTCTAATACAGAGTACAGAAAGGGTATGGGATTTTTATATATCAAGACGGGACATAACTCAGAGGTCAAGGAACACTGCTATAAATTTAAGATAATATTTGTTGATTGATACATAAAAACAGGAGTAATTGTAGATCCCTACTCATCTCCGTCTTAACACCCCCTGCTAGATATTTAATTTCAGACTTAAAACCATTTTGGATATAAATCTTTCTTAAAAGTTCTCTTTGCATGATTCTGTGAACAGTAAACCACATGTAGGTTTTTTGACTCTGAATCATCATGGCTATCACTTGCTGTGCCATAATATATGCATTGAGGCCTTTGGAGGCCATTAGAGAGGGGATTGTGCTTGTTGTGGCATTTCAGCTGCCTTTTTCCTGTGGTCTGTTCTTTTTTCTGCTGTCACTTCCTGCCATTTTTGAAGGATTGTTTTTCTCAAAACTTCTAATTTTTCTGCCAGCTCAGCTTTTTGTCTTCTTACTCTATGTTTGTAGTTTGTGGCAGAATTGAAAACTGCAGAGGAAATAAGATGACTAAGTAACATATAAAATGCCCTCACATCAGCTCTGCCTAAAGAGAAGGGGAGCTATGCCAGTTTTATATCTGCAGCTTCTGCTTATCTTATAACTCTTGGATTCTGTTACTGTCAGGATTTTTCTCTGCATGGAACATATTCAGTCCTTCACTTTTCCTCTGCTGTGCTACTGCCCTCCCTCTCCCAAAACGATTACTAACAACAACTGAGTAATTACTATTCCTCTTCTAGACTTTAGCTCAATATCACTTCTGAGAATTCGTCTCCAACCTCAAGTCCAAGATAGCTCTTGTCACCTGTACACCCATAGCACTTGTCACAGGATATGGTGTTGCCCACTTCCTGGTTTGTAGTTCCTGTTAGACTGTAAACCTCAGGTGGGTTGGAACCAAGTCTATCTTGTTCACCATTTTATACCCAGATACTAACTGAGTGACTTACACGTCTATAGGTATAACCATCTCTCTCCTGAGTGTCACACCTAAAAATCAAATTGCCTGGTAGACTTCCATTCTTTTCTCACAAAGGTATCTCAAATCACTGTGTTTATATCTATTCAGTAAAAACATATATATGTGTGTGTGTGTATAAAACTATACTGTTATTATTTTTCTGTCACCCTCACCAGACTAGCCCTTCCTCAAAACTGGGACCATGTGGCCCTCTTTATATCACCAATGACTGATATGAAGGCACTAGATTTGTTTTTGTTGAGCTCAACTGACTCTTCGGTCCATAATTTAATGTTGTTAGAAGTAATTTCTTTGTCATATGGTTACTGTGTTGATATGCTCTAGTATGTTAAAATATTATATGTAAAAAGGAATAATTGTCATTTGGAACATATTTTATGGATTGAATAACGTAGAGCAGAGCAGAGCAGTGAACGTTTTTTTTTAACTTCTCCTTTTCTTTTAAAGGATAGTTGTTACTGATTGTGCAGTGGTAATAAATATTTTCACAAATAGGTAAAAACCCTACAGGGTCTGGTTTAATACTTTTGATCTTTGAGTAAAATCCATCTTCGCATTGAATTTGTAAACATTGACATGGAGACATCTTTGTTCCTAACTCTTTTCTTTAGGTTATTATCGCACCGAGAGAGATAAGGGCACACAGTATGAACTCTTTTTTAAGAAAGCAGACCTTATGGAATATAGACATGTGACCCTCTTCCGCCCTTTTGGACCTCTCATGAAAGTGAAGAGCGAGATGATTGACATTACTAGATCAATTATTAATATAATTGTGCCACTTGCTGAAAGAACTGAAGCGTTTGCACAGTTTATGCAGAACTTCAGGTAACTGTCAGGACGTAATGATTTGGCTACATGCTCCTAAAAAAATGCAGATTTACTTAATTTATCTTCGTTGAGTATAATTACTTAGCATTTTGGAATAATTTTTATAGGCTTTAAGGGAACTTTATTTTTTTACATTCTCTTTTTTCTGTAAGCATGTGTAGTGTATTATGTTATTGATAATTTTAACTATGAAATAAATTGAGAGTGACAGCTATTAGAAACTAAATTTGATGCCTTTATAATTGTGTGTGAATTCATTTTAGTACAGGTTGAATTCTTAAAAATCAACTTTGTTGAGGAATAATTTACATACAATAATATGTACATATTTTGAGGATATAGGTTTCATGACTTTTGACAAATGTGTATACTCACAAACCACTACCCCAATCAAGATATAGAACATTGCTATCTTCCAAGGAAAATCCCCTTGAGAATGATTTGTTTTAAAATTGAAATAAATTTAGAAATACAAACATTCAACTAAAGATGAGAAAAAGTTATTCTATCTTGGGAAGCAGAGAATGTATAAAGTTTTTCTGTTTTATGTTGTTAAATTTGGATATTTTAAAATGTTGAAATGTTAAAGAGGTAATAACTATACATTAGAATAACTATTTGAGGAAAATACCACTTTCTTAAGTTAACAATTAAATTTT